ACAAAAAGTGTGGAGACCGCCGCCATAGACCAAGAAAAGAATCTTCCAAAATACTGAACACCAAGACACTCCAAGGATAGTCAGTGGGATCATGTTGTAAGATGTGATACTTTATACTTTAATTCTAGTTCACCAAATATATCTCGTTCTCCACTTTAATAATAGATCAATATTTCTCAAACAATTTTAAATTTTGATAACTTCCAACAAATTTCGGACGCCTCTTCGGATTATGAGTAACAGGAGCTTTAGATTCGTCCATCGAATAAATATGTCATTGCCTCCTTCATTATAAGAAATAGAAGAGTTACCGCTGAAAATTGTTTTTCTTCAAGCTTATCAATACATCAAGCAATTGTGTGTATTTGCTTGTGTGAGTAATCAAGCAATCAATACATCAAATTAAAATTAATATTTCCATTTCATAATTATTATGTCAATATCCTGTTAGAACTAGGAACTAGCTGTGATCTGGCCTTGGCTGGTGTAATCAGTTTGAATGTGTTCGATGGGCTCGTTCTGATAAATTTAATATCTTACCGCCTTTAATTTTTTTTTTCATTTATGTATATTTTATCAACAATTCTCAATTTTTTTTAAGTCTGATTTGTTTTGCCCTCAATTATAGTCCAAAGTTTAAGTAGCCCACAAGGGTCAGTGATATGCTCTCAAATAAGAATAATGGACTCATTGGTGAATTACCATGAAAGTTTGACTAACAAATTCTACTGCCTAACAAACTAACAAACTCTACTGCCTATGCCATCATGATTGTGAATATTAATTGGAAATCATTCACATTCCAAAACTGTTTTTTTATAAGATGTGCATAGTAAAAGTAAAGAAAAAAAAGAACTATCCATAAAAAAAAATGTATTGCTATTAATACATGTAGTTAAAGTATAACTCTTTTAAGTTTTTAATTATCTAAGACTCCACCTGGACACACGTCTAACTTGGAATCCTCATAACTGACTGAAACGACCAGTGGGTAGTTTCTCAACAAGTGTTTCCACGTCATCATATCCATTTGCACAAATTTACTAGTTGTATTTCTTTAATAATCCCCCTCCCCCCAAATTTGAGGTTTCACATTTCAAGAAAGATATGTAGAAATGGAGTAAAATAAAATGCGTCCCTTCGCGGCTTATAATTTCTGATAAGTATAACTGCCTCGATTGTTTTAAGACTTGGTTTTAAAGTAAGAATTTTTAAGGATGATCCTCAGAACTCGACATTACCATCCACCATTTTAAAATAGCAGCCCAAAACGTGTGGTTTTATCAAGTCTGCCCATATTTGATGTTTGACTGGAATTATATATAAATCAATTTTTTTTTTTTAACAGAAAAATGAATTAGATGTGTATATGCTGTCGAAGTACAATATATTGCCTAAAAATCGAGTACATTAAAACTGACTGTACAGTTTTACAAAGCTTGAAAAAAAATCTTCCTTGAAATTTGAAACGAATCGAAATATTGATCCAAGCACTTTCGTGACAAGTCAAAGGTGTCCCCTCTCTACCAGATCAAAGGTATCAGTGTTGGGCGACGTGCAAGGCGGAAAATCTGGGTCGCTAACGCACAACAATCGTTCTACCGTCGCTAGGTATCGAACCTTTATATGGTGATTCCGTAACTTTGATAAATTAAAAATAAACATGGGTAGTTTTTACACTAAAAGTAAATGAAAAAAAAAACTGCTTGCCTATTCGCAAGCACAAATTCAGTTCACATATGTGTTTTACGTTTCATTTAGATGTAACTTGAAACATAATTAGATGAGCACACCAAATTTCTAAAATTTAACCTGTTCATCTAATTATTGTCCACGTTGTTATTTGGAACAACATTAAAGAAAAATCGAAATAAATTTAAATTAATGCCTCAAAAAATCGTTTTTGAGTATTCATACATTCTAAAGAGCCCCTTACATGGTCAATATCGAGTTTTGTCAATATATTGACCGTGTAAGGGCTACATTGGTATCAATTTATTTGATGTCTATCAAATTGGTTGATATATTTTTTTTTATTGAAGCTCCTGCAATATTATTGCAACTGTGTCAATATAATTGACATGTCAATGTAATATTGAGCAATATGAAATATATAATTTAATATTTGTCCGTGGTACAGACCCGTTTTTATCAAATTATTAACATTCACCTGAAACTCCGTAAGTAGCATCATCTCATCGTAACCTACAACAATTTTAATTACTAAAATTCCCGGAATTGGGAAGTTTTCAATCTGGAGATCGTAAACTTTCTCTATTTAATTAGGTACTAAAAACTCGCAAATTACCCATTTACTTTCTAGTTCTAGATCTTGACATAAATTGATCACAAAATCGAGAAAAATAATTGCCTACAAAAATATTTGGCCTATATAACCTCGTTATTTTAATATTATGGGGATGTAGGTCAAGGAAAACAGTTCAATATTTTTGAAGGCCACCTTTTTTTCTCGAATTTGTGCTCAAATTATCTTAACATTCAAGTGGAAAGCAAATGGGTATTTACAAGTTTTAAGTACCTAATTAAAGCAGACAAAGTTTGCCGATCTACAGCTTGGAAACACCCCGATTCCGAGAATTTTTGTAAATGAAATAGTTATAGGTTATGTTGAGATGAAGATATTTACTAAGTTTCAGACGGATGTTTAATAATTTGATAAAAAGAGGTGTGACTATATTGAGCAATATTAAACCACTTATCCCCTCTCCCAATTTTTTAAAGATGTAATGGTAATATTTTTACGTAGTTGGATAATTTTCTGTTCAAAACTTGATTTTTATACAAAATTTAATAACAATTTTTTTTTTATTACTAATTTTTCTTTTAAATATTAAATAATTAGGAAAAAGAACAGAACCAATTTGAAACAAGAAACGTTTTAATGTCTAGGAACAAAATCAACATTACAAAGAAAACATTTTTTTTTTTTAATGCTGAAGCAAAGGCAATTAAAGTAATAGGGAATTAATATCCATAAAAAAGAAAGATTAGCTCTTTGGAAACCTCTATCTTTAGTGGAAGCAAGATCTTAACTGATATAATATTGACTCAATATAATTGACCGATGTGAGGTATCCCTTTAATGTATTGCCTGCAATTATATTACTTCAATAATATTGGCTTAATAATATTGACCGTGTAAGTGGCCCTTTACAAAGAGTTACTATCAATGAATAAAAAATTCGGCACGTAATTGAGAAAAATAAACAATGGAAAAACTTTTCTTACAATATTAAGAAACGTTCAATTCATAAAATGGAGAAAGAATAAAAACTACTTCAGGGGCTAAACAAAAATAAATTAAATAACTTAAACCTTAGCTATGAGGGTGTAGGCAATCTCATTTTTTGTCGAATGTTTAATACGAAAACTGAAGTTAGCATGTATGTTAGTAATACACGACGTATATGAACATAAGTCGTATTTTTTACTATTGAACTATAATAATGTATCTAAAACTCCCACAATAAGAGGTGGGGGAGTTGCCGAATCTATGGTACAGGTGCCTGGTATTAAAATAGTAGTATTTTATAATTAAAATTTTATCAGTAGTCAAAAATAATAAAAATTAAAATATTATTAAGTACATCGTATAAGACACAATATATTAATACATAAGGAAGTGTCATTGGGTGCCAAGCTCTCTAATACCTTTTTATTGTAACAATAAATTCGTCGGATTCATCGGTTGTAAACAAAGGAAGATCTTGGGGGATGGGGACTTTTGGATTGAAGCCCCCCAAAAATTGTAAAATATAACCATATTTTATGGGAAAAAAGTTATCTCTTAAGTAACATTGTTCGTGTACTAACATTTAATAGGACTTCAAATATAGGTTGTTAGTTTCTTTTTTTTCTTTTTACAAAGTAATTATCGTTATATAAATGAAAAAAAAAACTTTCGGGCTGAAGCCCCTTCATGAAAGGCATAAATGAATAAGTCAAGTTAGAAATAATAAAGAAATATAAAAATCATTCGTTTGAAAAAAAAAATAAAGTACTTCATTTTTTTATTGTATTAAAATTAAAACTATTAAAAAAGTTTCATTTATATTTATATACATGTGTGTGCGTAATTAGGCATTTATGAAGAGAAATTCAGATATTGATGAAAGTACAAAAATGATATTTATAAAAAATGGGACAATGACCTCAATTTCCTCATACACAATAGGTATGAATATTACGTGAAAAATTCTTATCATTAATATTTATAAGAAAATAAATAAGTAATATTCATTAATTAAAATAGAAATTAATTAGAACATTTATAATAAGTTTCCCAACAAATTTTTCTTGCAGTTATATTCCAAAGTGATAATCGACTTTCTGTAGACACTAGCGATTTCAGCTAAGTAAACAAAATGTCCTGATGGGGCTCCTGATGTCAGTGGTGGTTAGTTTTCAAAGAGGCTGTCGCAGAGTTATATCTGTGCTTTGACCTATTTATACTAGTGAGAAATGTCTTTGAGATATCACAGAAAAAGTCACACTTCTATTGTAATTCATTCAGAACATCTATCTTCTTTGAAAATAGGCAATTTCTTAATTTTTTAACCTTAGCATGCTAACTTCAGTTGTATTCATTTGCTTATAATCGTTGAAAATTTGTTTTCTGTACTTTTTTTTGACACTGAAGTGAAAGTTATATATGTAATAGTATCACAGCATTCAGGAATTGAATTAATACTGTTTTTCCTAACCTGATATAAGAAGGAGAAAGTCAAGAAAAAAACTGTTGCTCTTCTTCATATCTTTTGACAATAGACCTGATAACTGATAAAATGTCCTTGGCCGGGGTAATATGTTCTCTCACTTCACCACTCATTCATTGCAGGGAATGGTTCTGATTGAGCAATAACCATTTTAACTTTCAGCATGATAGAATGTTATGAATGTTGTGCACTTTAAATTTCTTTTTTAAAATTACTTTCTTATTGGTATGGATTTAGGCATTTCAAGACTAATATCATTCTGAAATGGTGCAAACGCAGGTGCCACATCCACATCATAATTATGCTGATGCATTATGGTGCACTTACATAGTTTCTGTAGTTGCTGCCAATATAGCTGAATTTTGTGAGTAAATTTTTACACTTTTTACGATTAATAATAAGTTTTTTTTTTTATATCAATTACTTATCATTGAGTATCAGACATAGAAAGAAGAATATTATATGAGCACGATTTCTCATTTTTCACTTGTAGTGGATTTATTTAGATTTAATCAATTTATAAATTAAATATTTAAATATCATCCATCAAAATGTTCACAGTAACCTATCCCCTTGATCTCACGAAAACAAGATTGCAAATACAAGGGGAAGTAGCTGCGAACTCCAATGGAAACCCACAGGTATTTTCATTAATTATTGTGAAATAATCTTTGAGCCTGTGTTATGTGTTCAGGTCAATTTTTTTTTGTTAATTGTATCCTTATTTTTAAGAATTAAGTTTGCATTATATTTAAAGTAACTCAATCAGATATTTTTATGAATAATGTGTACATCAAATAAATTTTATTAATTTCAGGCTGCCTATCGGGGGATGGTGAAGACTGCTCTTGGAATTGTTCATGAAGAAGGATTCCTTAAATTATGGCAGGGTATTACCCCTGCAGTTTATCGTCATGTTGTTTACTCCGGAATTCGTATCGTAACTTATGAATATTTGAGGCAAAATGTACTTAAGAAAAATGATGATGGTTCTTTTCCGATATGGTATGTATTTGGGTTTCAGCTCAATATTTTAAAGCATTATTTATTTCCTATTAGAATGAAATTGATAGTTTTTCAATTAGTAAAATTTTCAAGATTTGCTGAAATTTAATTTAATATATTATAATCTCTATTCTTGGATTTTAATGAAACATAATTATTCCTAGTGGACAATCAATTCCAGTTTCACATGATTGTAGATATAAGTACTTTCACAGTTGATTATAAGTTCTTTTAGTTTTTAATTATTGTTATAATGTTACTCCTTATATTTGTGAATCTGGATTAGGTAATTCACTAATGTTTTGTAAAATCCTCAAGACCTTATTCCAATAGCATTTCATTTGAGCTTTGGGGATCAGTTTGGTTAAAAAGTAGCTTCTTTCAACATAAATAAATTGCAGACACGAGTCCTAGATGAAATATGTGTTCTGCAGGAAATCCGCTATAAGTGGCGTTACTTCTGGGTCTGTGGCACAGTTTTTTGCCAGCCCAGCTGATCTAGTCAAAGTACAAATTCAAATGGAAGGAAAGCGTAGGCTGTTGGGCAAACCACCAAGGTACTTTTATACAAACAATGATGGTTTAGGTTAAGGTTTTATGTCTAGTCCAAATAAGGGCTTGATAGCTGACAAGACTAATTTTTCCACGGAAGTTTTTTATTAACAGTTTCTTTTTTTGTTTATTTCAGAGTTTTAAGTGCAAGTCATGCTTTCCAAAAGATTTTGAGTGAAGGTGGTATTCGTGGACTATGGAAAGGCTCTATACCAAATGTTCAAAGAGCTGCTCTTGTTAATCTTGGAGATTTGACGACTTATGATACTGCTAAACAATTTATTTTGACACATACGTCTCTTCCAGACAGTCATACGACTCATATTCTGAGCAGGTACTAAGAATGTTGTTACACTGTTTCATTTTTTATATACCAGTGTAAAAAAAATACAATGAAGCAGGATCACATTTTTTGGAGCAAAGCGACCCTCTTCAACTGTATCTGATTCATGATATTACTGTATTCTAGGAAATATATAGTCACTATTATGCTATAATCATTTCAAAGCTCTGGTCGTTCCAATAAACTTCTATTGGTGGAATAATTTTTATCAGTATACATGGAAATACAAACATTAATTTACTCTTTTGAAATATCCTAATTTCCATTTATGCTTGTATTTTATCAGCTACCTTAGAATATTAATAAAAGTAAATGTTCTTTCTTTTAGTGGATGTGCTGGATTAGTGGCGGCAACAATGGGAACACCAGCTGATGTAGTGAAGACCCGAATAATGAATCAACCTACCGACTCGCATGGAAAGTAAGTTTAACTGTAAATGTAATAATGATCATAGATGAGTATTTCTTTAATATTTAATCATTATTGGTAGATAAAATATAGAAATTTATCATATATTTTTTCAATATCATTTATATTACAGTTATTTTTTGTAGAACAATGATTTTAAAAATCTTCTTTTCCTTTAAACTATTTTTAATGAAATTTAGTAATAAGAATTAATTGGAATGGATAAAGTATCAAAAAAAAAAAATCTATTTAAAGTAAAAATTCAACGAGATGAACGTGATAAGTAAATCAATGCCAATCAATTAAGCAGCTTTCACTATTTTCTTAAGCAAATAAAATTGGCACTATATTATGGTTTTACAATTTAATTTTATAAATAATTACAATTGAATTAATTGACCACATGCTCCCTTGATATCATCAAGAGAACCAAATGATCATAGTTGTCGCCTATAACAGCCTCAAAGCTACTAGAAGAATCATGGCAGAAGTCGAAAAGTCAAGAAGCGTACGAGAAAAAAAATAATTTTAGTTGTCAATACATTTTTTTTCCATTTCATCTGTCAATTTATAACTTCTTCACGAAACTATCAACTCAAATAGCTTCTCATGTTCAAAATTATTTGGAAACATTTTTAGTATAAATTATACCTTTCATGCCTAATGAAGTTATTATTATTTTTTTTTTTTTATTAAAGAGGAAATTGTAATCATTTGAAGTTATAAAAGAAATTACTAAGTACTTTGTAGAGCTAATGTGAAACATTTTGAAAACTGGTAATTAGAGTTTTTGAAATGGAATTTTATTTATCCATTTTGGGATGCTTATAATTTGATAACATTAAACTTATTTATCCGAATTACATTTGTTTTCCCACTCTAGTTAATCCATTTAACTGCATAACTGGATTTTTAACATAATGTTTATTTTATCTTTAATTATTATTAATCTGTTAGTCACACTTATCTATTTATGAATAATATTAGTAAGGGAGAGGTAATGAAATTATAAAAATGTTCTTAAATCAAAAATGAATTTAAGCTACCCTTGGCACAAATAATCAAGTCTCACAAAATAATCTGTATATATGAGATGGAGCTATAGCCTTTATAAAGTAATGAGACCAAAACTGCAACAGAAGAAGAGCGGATGTGTCTTAACCCTTGTACCTTCAGCATTTAATGTGGAGCCTCTTGAATGCAGTACCAAAACCTTCTGTAAACAAATCTGTATAGATGTAGCCTTTGTTCGCGTAAGAGTTTTTTTTTTGCCAGAAATGTGTTGGGTGCAACAATAGATCAACGAATAACTGTGAAATTTTGTTTCAAACTTGAAAAAACTGATACTGAAACTTATAAGGGAATGAATGTTTATCGTGTACACATGTTTTTGAGAGGTTCAAGGATTTTAAAGATGGCCAAGATGTTGAAGATGATTTACGCCTGGGTTTTCCCTTCTATGGGACAATATTAAAAAAATCAGTAAACTGATTAATCTGAGCTATTTGGTAGCTGAAACTGTAGGAATTGAGAAAGAATTTGTGCAGCAAATTGTGTATAGTAATTTTAACATGCAAAAAAGTGTGTGCTGAAGTGGTTCCTAAAACTCTCTTGTTTGAACAACAAAAGCTCAGCAAAATAATTTACTGAAACTTTGAATGTCATTGAAAATTACTTAAACTTATCGGAAAGGATAACATGTAAGGTATCATGGGTTTTTACTTTAGATCCTGAAATGACATGCCAATCCTTGCACTGGAAGAGCCCAACTTCACCAAGATCCAAAAAAAGCCCGAATGAGAGTAAATTAAACTTCTCACTCCTGATTTTTTAAATTTAAAAATGTCTCATCATTGTAGTTTAGAAAACAATATGTAACATATACCTACATTTTAAAAATATCTCATTTATATATCTATATTGTTACTAATGTATTTTTTTTTTTTTTTTTTTATAGTGGCTTGATCTACAAATCATCTATGGATTGTTTGATCAAAACCGTTGAAAATGAAGGCCTTTTTGCATTGTATAAAGGATTCCTACCTGTTTGGATTAGAATGGCTCCATGGTCTCTGACATTTTGGTTATCGTTCGAGCAAATTCGGCATACTATAGGTGCCACAGCATTCTAAAGAAATCTTTTAATTGTTATTGTTAGATATTTTTTCTTTTTTAATAGAAATATATTTTTTTTTCATTTATTTTTTTATTTTATAATCAGAGACCTTATTTGTTATTTTCATTAGTTGGTTATTATTATGATGTTTAGTAATCAGTGTATAGAAAAAAAGAAGTAAGCTTATAGTTATGACTATATTGGTAATAATAAAGTACTAGATTCGATATGTACCTTGAGATTTAGTACAAAAATCAGGTTGCAGTAAATAATTTACCTGAGAATAATTCTTTTTTTCAATATTAGTCTTTTTCAATTATTTTTATTTAATTGTAAACATTAGATAAAATGTACTTTTATAGCCCTATTCAGTATTAATATTAGATACATTTTCATTATTTTATGATTGTATAAAAATATTCAAATTGGATGATTGCAAAAATTATAAATATTAGGTCTGTTTAATTACTTTATTAAATTGAAAGACTGTTTTTAAAGATAATGATTTTTAATATATTCATAAAATGGAATTGGAATATGATTGTATTATTTTGTGTCTTTGCCCTCTGAAAGCATCTGAGAATCGAGAAATTGGAGGAAAATAAAAAACTTACAACAATGATTTTTGACGGAAAGGTTTCTTCTTATTAGTCAGGTTATAATTGATCAAAGTGTAGGCATATTAACAAACTTTTGACATAAGAACATAAGATCCTTCCTATTCAATGTTCTTTAAATACTTCTAAATTTTCATAATACATGATTACAGTGTTGTTTAAAATATAAGAATATACATTATTGATGACAGATATTTTTATTGATAATTTAACTTATATTGAAAACAAAATTGTGAAGAGTTGGAAAATAAATTAATGGGTGAGCAAAAGTAAGATATCATTAACAAAAGAGGCAAGTATAATTTAATTGATGTGTGTTGAAACTTTATCTTTTGGAAAATCTGCCGAATTTTTAACCAAGCAAATTTTATAATCCCAATGAAACATGATAAATTAACAGATGATTCACTTTGTACCAATATGTCCATTTGAAACAAGAAAAATTAAATTGTAAAAAGTCAAAATTTTCTTACATTATTTGCACCTTTGTATTACATATATACATTACACACATAGGATGGCCTGTAAATAATGGAAAATATTTAAAGAGATGGTAATACATCTGAAAGGTAAAAACAAGTTTACATAAACCGTGGTTCAGTTTCACATAATAAAGCAGAAAATTTAAATTTTATGTTTTTTTAGTAAGTTACATTTAAATAACAAATAAAATGTGTAATTCATGTAATTACTAATTATAGCAATCTAAATAAAATTTTATTTAATTACAAGCTGACTTAGTCCTTGCTGAAACCATTCCAAGGCTCAACTGTGTCAAGATCTGTTTTTCATAAGATTATGGATTTCAAATATGCCACTTTTAAAATTAATTAAATTTAAATTATTTATAGAACCATCCCATATTCCACTCCTGTTTTGTCAAAAAATAATGTGATTCAAAATTCCAGTGCTTTCACCAAAAATTATTATAAACTTATTTTTTCTATAACCTATATTGTAATAAATGAATATTATACTAGAATACGCGTTTTTTTTTTATCACAATGCTGTTTTGTTATTTAAATTTTAAATCAAAGCAATATTGTACCAGTCCTTCAAACATATATCTCAATGATGAGAATTGATCAGTATTATTATCTTAAAGTTGGCCAACGTCATAATTCTGGGACTTTGAATCCTAAGGTAATGAATACAACTTTTGACAGAATTACATTATTAAATTTATAATTAAGCTTCTGCCTTTTGGTTCTTTATAAACAAATGTTATACATGTACTCCATGGTGTAATATATTTTGACCAATTTTATTAAATTACACTAAAATTTACGTTGTAATATTTCTACCTTTCCAATTTGAATATTTTCAAGTTTTATATATATATATATATATATATATATATATATATATATATATATATATATATATATATATATATATATATATATATATATCTGTCTGTCAAACCAATTTTAAGTTCAGAACTAATGAAATACAAAGCATGAGAACAATGCTTTTCCGCACATTACCTTTACAGAAGATTAGGTTAGATAACATACGGCAGTTCACTTGTCTTCATGTATATGTTGGTAGTTAACACAATAATGGCTGTAGCTATCAGAACCAGTACTGTCAGCTAAAAAGTAAAAGCTATTAGTCAATACTGTTGTACAGCCTACACGATGGAAGTTGCCAACTTTCACCGTAAAAATGAGCCTTAAGCTATTGTAGACAGTCAGAAAAATTTATTTTAAATCAGTGTGAAGTATATAAAATTCATTCTGAAGATAATAGTTGTAAAAATATTAGTATTGCAATTTTATATTAATTTTTAGAATTGTAATTTTATTTTTATGCAACATTTCAGTGCATTACTCATATTATGCATATTCTGAATTTAGAAAAATGGTGTAATGTGCTTAATGCAGATATGAAGTCAGATCAATGTAATTAATTTATCCATATTAAATTTTTTTAAGTTATCTTGGGAAATGTTTGTGCAAATTTCATATAATTGTTGAAACACTTTTTATCACATTGACTGACCTACGAGATAATTAATAATTGTGGGTTGATAGTTGACTGTAGTGAATAATAGAAGAGAAGGATGGTTGGAGTGATCAGTTTAAATAAAAAATACGAAAAATAAATAATTACATTTATTGTTATATTTACAGACCTTTCGGCAAACATCAAAATGAATATAATTTTTTATTTTGACTGATCACTCCAACCATCCTCTTCAAGATAATTTATAGTTCGTTGTATTGCTTTGGATACCTAGTAATCTCATATGTGCCATATTTTTATAGAAAAAATGGAGTTGGTGTTTTTTTAAGTAAATTAGATGTTTTAATAATATAATATAATATAATTTAATTTAATTGGATTTTAAAACTGAACCCTGAAAAGTATCATAGCAGTCAATGTGTTAATATGTAGACTTTCTTTCTTTTTTTTCTGAATGAAAGGTTCATAGTATATTTATATTAAAACAAATATTGTTTATTTATACGAAATTAAAACAAGAAGTGCCCAGTTATAAATTTATCACTATTATTGTAAATTATGAGTGAAGCAAGATTTTTAAACATCATTTATTTTCCTTCATGAAACTTTCAGATATTTTGATTTCCTAAAACAAAAAATGCTGTTGAAAAAGATTAAGATTTAATTAAGGTAGGAATACAATGGATTTCCTCTAGTTGTACTAAGAGGTCCTAGACCATTAATTATAATAAATTCAATGCAATAAGCTTGGCGATAATATTGAAAATTGCTATTATCAAAATGAAAAAAAATTGTCAGGATTTACAGTCAAGAATTTTTACTACCATCCACATGTTTGTGTCAAAACGTCGGCCGGCTAACCTAATAAAAATTCTTGACTGTAAAGTTCATCGTAATAATTGATCAGTTAACTAATTACCCATCTCTATATTAAAATGTTTAATCTCATTGACTGTCTTTTGATAAATTATATAAGATCTTTGTATACCCATATAATGCTGGATTCTGATTAACTAATTCTAAATCACAGGTTCTCTGCCTATTAATTTATTTTCATATTATTTTTTAAGTGATCATCCCATCCCCCACAACAGTACTGCTAACATAAACATACATGAAAACATCAGCTTATTTATTTTTAACCAAATAAATGTTATTAAAAAACTAGGGTAAAGATTTAAATAGTTTTATAGATTTAACAGCTTTACTTCTCTCTAATTAAATAAAAAACAAATAACAAAAGACTAACATAATTTTAGACCTCTATGGGCTGTTATGTTTTTGTTAGTTGTGTTACATTTAGTAGATATTCACAAGTCAAGTTAAATCAATTTATTCTATTTAATGATTTAATTTGATTGATAAAGCATTTAATGAAGTCTGAACATTAAACTTTTATAAACAGAATTAACAACAGTAAATGCAAAAAATAATAAACTATTTATTTTAGGAGTCAAATAACTGATACTCTTATGTAATGTGTGAATTTCAAACATAAAAGAAATTGTTTAGTGATTTTTTAAATTATTTTATCACTGTCCTCATCAGAAAATGAATTTTTATTAATGTAATTATGTTTTTAAATGTATTACATATCTATTTAATAAAGTTAATTAATTTGGCAAGTCATCGGTACCATGTTAAATTAACAAATGTGCAATGTTAAACAGGCTCACATTCATTACTTTAACATGGTGCTGACGAAGTGAGCACCTCAAACAGAATTCCAATTCCTGCATAGTGAACTTTCCATGATATTTCAGTTTTTATTTCTTTTTCTGTCAAAATTAATTCACACCAATGATTTTTTTTGTGATTTTATTTGCAAAAAAATAAATAATTTTTTTTAAAGGTTTTTGCCTTTAAAGGATCATATTATTGAAATGGATGCTTTCTTTTTTTTAATTAACTGTGCCGTGTGCAATATTTAATTATTTTATCATTTTGTCAGATAAAAATGTTATTCATTCAATAGAAAGTAATAAGGGCGATGTTTGAGAGGTTCAGTAGCAATTTAATTTACAAGCCTCTAAATATGATAGAAGTCCCTTGGAAACAAATGAAATTCATGTATGATGATATGATGAGTGATCAATGATTTCATTGCTCAACAGTTTTCTTCTATTAAGGAATCACTAAAAATAATAATATGTGCAAAAAGTATTTTTGTTTTGAATGAAAGTAGGACGAGGCTATTAGGAATGTTTGAGGAATTAAATTGTTCGTTAAGTGAAAGGAATAGTTGTTATCTAAATTATTATTATTGTGGCTAAGTATTTGAAAGTTCCAGAGAATCATTTTAATTGAAAAAAATTATGTTATAGAGAAAGAGAACCTATCATTCAACACAAAATGGCTTTTTAATAATGATAAGTTTTATTTGCCTTCCAAGGACCCAAAAGCACTTTTTAAAGAAGTATTTTCATTAAGAAAATGTTTGTATAAGCTTTGCAACTGATAATTGAGAAATTGTGTTAAATTGCATTCTAATTACGAAATCAAAATCAAAAGGTAGGAATCACTACCATATTATCTAAACTTGTATTAAGCCTCTGATTAATAGGTCAGTTAACTATACTTCAGTGGATTTTGGGAGATGGATGGATAGATGCTGATTTATATCAATCATACAAAAAAAGTAAATTATTAAATTATTGGGAAAGAATGCATTATTGCTATTACTTATTGTATTCACAGTTGTTATTCATTGTTATGTGTTGAAAAATGTTTAAACTTTTACAACTTGTGTAAATTTTATATGTCTGAGGAAAATAGATAAAAAAGTTGTATACAAGACGTTAATTTACTGTCAGTATTATTCGAGTAAGATAAAAATATGTTTAAGTTTAGAAAACAAACTTTTATAAAGTTTTAAATTTTATTTATTATTAGTTTTACCATGTTTTTAATTCCTCAGGCTATAAGTTTGTTTTTAATTTAAAATATTTTTGCTAAGTTACTGTTACAAATATTTATTTTTTTTAATATAAATTTAGGTTTCCCTTTTTATATTTATTTTCCTTTATAATTAGATAAAGAAATTTGATTGGTTTTCAAGAGTTGAATTTTCAAAAAAAAAAAAAAATCAGGGTGATAAATATTCATGATGCACTGCCAAATAATGTTTTAGCAGTATTTATATTCAAAATGCCTATTATCTCAAATTATCGAATTAAAAAATAAAGTTTATTTTCAAGAGCATAAAAAATATATAATATTAAGCTATTTTGATGCCTAATGATTTAAATGTTTTGATAAATGATGGTGTTAATGAAAAGGGATTTTTTTTTTTTAATTTTTCAATATTTTTTTAGATGAAGAATATATATATTCTTGTATTATATGTAGTGCGTATATAATAAATATATATTGAATAGCTAATGAGAAAGAACCTTGACTTTGTTGGAAACCAAGCTCAGAATTACTACAGCTATATTTCTCATTTCAATATTTTGAATTTTCTGAGAAAATAATAATTGAAAATGTAATATGTTACTTATGAGAATGTTAATATGTTACTTTTAGTATCAGTCATAGATAACTGTTGTGCTTTACCAATATTGTAATATTGTACCATGTTGTTTCAAATAAAAATATATAATGACAAACATTTTTTCCCTTTATTTTGTTCCTGTTTATATTGTCAATTTAATAAGTTTTTGACAATGAAAAGTATTTCATGAAATTATAAGCACCATTGAAATTAATATTAATTTTTAAAAAATACTAGGATAACATAATTAATAATTATAATAATTATATTTAGTTTTAAAAAAAATATTTTCAGTCCTTAATTTATTTATTTCGTTTTTTCCTTACCCTCTCTGAGAAATGTTAATCACTATATCATAAATTATTATATCATACAACCTCAATTTATATTTTATTGACAATGTTTTAATAACTTAGAAAATATTTTTTTCTTGGGCATAAAACTGAAGTCAATTTCTTTATGGTTATAATTTAAACATATGATTTTAGAGGAAGTAGAATTTTATGAATTGTTGAAATTAATATTCATTTTTGAAAATATTTTTTAATGCTAAATTTATAACATTTTATTTTTAAAGTAAAATTATGATTAGAATGAAATTAATATTCAGTATTTTAAAAAAAGTATTTTCAGTCATACATTTATATTTTAATGAAAATAATTTTTGTTTGGGTGTAATGCTTAAGTCAATTTATTTGTTGTAATTTCAGCAAATGATTTTAGAGGAAATAGTACTTACAAAGGAGTTTTAGTGTTTTAAAAATTAATTACTCCATATATTTTTTTAAATGGCAAATATAATTATATTAAAAAAGGGGTAGTGACTAAACTAATTAAGAGAATGGCAGCTGACTAAGACTTCCTACTGAATTGATTTTTTGCTATGTATTTAATAATTAAAAATGTTGGTAGAAAAAGTTAAAAGAAAGCCATTAAACGATATAATAGTCTAGTTTTTATACAGAACATCTTTATTTTTATTATGAAATAAAATAAAACGAGTTTAAAACTCGTGGGCTTGTTTAAAGATTTTTTGTTCATTCCTTTTAATACAGGGCTTTTATTAAATTTTAAATCAGTCTTCAAGCTGTAATGAAATTTCTGAGTTAAAAGGCTATGGAAAAAAATATTCATATATGGGAAGAAAAGTCGAGGACGAAGTTGGAAAAGAAATAGGAATTATGCTGGTGGAAGTTTTTATCCTGGGAACGGCTGTGGCGAGGAGCCTTTCTATAGGAAAGGGGGTACGAGGTCATTTATTTTCCCCCACTCTAAGCTATTCATGAAACGCAGCTGCCGTTACGGAGCTAGTTAGGGAGGTTACAGACAACACATCAATAATCATTGTATAGGTTCCGCGAAATAGTAATGTTTTCGTGTAGTTAAAGGCTTACATTTTACATTTAATATAAATCTTTAAAAATAAAAACGCCCATTTTAAAGATAGAGCGCTCTAGTGGTGTTGTGGAACACTTCAGTTATCACAATGGCTTCCTCCATAAAAGACACAGCTACTTTCTTCGCTGCGGGTTCAGCAAAACAATTCGAACATGTATTAAGTTTATATCCACAAGCACTTAGACTGAAGGCTGAAAGGAAGAATAAGAAACCCGAGGAACTTATTAAATTGGACAACTGGTGAGTAGTTATGGGTTAATTTCAGTTTTAGTGGCGAGGTAGGATGTCATTGAACCTTGCTTTGTGACTACACTGCAGGGAGCTAACTGCCAATCTTACAATTGCATGATCCCTACAGCGGTGGCAGTCATTAAATACCAAACATGTCACGTGGGGTCCAATGTCTCCCTCAAATCTAATAAGTTGATGAGCTTGTTATAAAGGTTCTATTTACAGATTTCCTTGGTAGCGTCATATCCAACATCGATGACGTGAGCCTCCAATGTTATTCATTTATTTAAAGGCTCATTCCTTCCTTTTAAACGGTATTGTTTTACAATTATTTTTTATTCAATGATTAAAGGAGTTAATAGACATACTGAGTTGAATAAAATGGGAAAATTGTTTTGTTGAATAATTCGTTTCGTAATGTAAAACTTGTACTACTTTCAGCTTTCCCATTTCAGCAAACCAAAATGGAGTCTGACAAAGACTGATCATATAACTTTTTTTAAATAATATTAATGCTCTTCCTAACTTTTTAATTCATCTTTTAATATTTTCTTTGAACTTTAGAGTTAATTATATAAATTTTTGGAAGTTGATATATACAACCATCTTCCTAAAATATAATATGGTTGAAGACTGAAGTTATTGATGCATGACTGTTAGATATATTTTGTTTTTGTTCTCTGCATTGATTTGACAATTAAAAATTTGTTAACCTGTTTGAAGTTTGTTCATTTTTAGCTCAGTAATGTTAAATTTATTCCTTTAAACATAATTAGTAATTCTGATTTTTATCTATTGGTATTTTTTTGGATTATTAGTTTTATTTCTTTTAAGAAAATTGTAGTTAAGTGTACTTACAACTTTTATAATCTTAGGTATCAAAATGAATTACCTAAGAAAATCAAATCTAGAGGAAAGGATGCACATTTGAATCACGAAGAACTTGTTCAGCTTATGAAATGGAAGCAGACAGTAAGCAGCATGCTTGTTAAAATTTATGTTAATATCTCAAAACTATTATTTATTATTACTATTTATAATTTTTTTTTTTTTTTAACAGCGAGGCAAATTCTTCCCCCAACTCAGTTATTTAGTTAAGGTAAATACTCCTAGAGCAGTCATGGCAGAAACCAAAAAAGCTTTCCGCAAGCTACCTAATTTGGAACAGGCGATAACTGCATTAAGCAACCTCAAGGGTGTTGGTACTACTATGGCTTCTGGTAAGCAATTTAATTATGTTATAAGTCAAACTTTAATTTATTGTCTGTTAAAACATAATTAATTAATTGTGTGATTATACATTATCTTTATATTTATTCAATTTGGTGACAGGTGATCATGAATAATTCTGACTGTAAGAATAAATTTGTTTTGTAGCATTATTAGCAGCAGCTGCTCCTGAAATGGCACCTTTTATGGCAGATGAATGTTTAATGGCTATCCCTGAAATAGAAGGAATAGATTATACAACTAAAGAATATTTGAATTTCGTCTCCCATATTAATGCTACAGCAGAGAGGTTAAACAGTGAAAGTAAGTTTGTTATAATGTCCACCAATTATTAAAAATATTTTTTATATTTGAATAACTTGAATTACCAAGTATTAAATACAGTTTAATCAAATCTTCAAAATAACAATTATCCAACTATGATATAAATAATTTACTATACCTAATTTTATTATCAATACTAATTTCATTCTTTTTATAATTTAGATAACAATGGGTCGTGCTGGTCACCACATCGAGTAGAACTTGCTCTATGGACACACTATGTAGCGAGTGAATTGCAGCCAGAACTTTTAGACTCAATACCAAATGGTACAACACCACCCCATAGCAACGGAAATGAGAAAGCAACACCCCATGAGTCTGAATCATCAAACGCCGCCAGTTCCGTATGTATTTTATTCATATATGTTTTGATACTTTTAGTGTTGCTTATTCATGTTAATATACTACGTTTCTTATATATTATTTATTCTTCTCAGTTAAGATAATCTGAATTTTTTTTATGTCTCATGGTTTGTTGCTCATTATCGAATGTTACATTTATATATTGAATGATCAACAAAAACTCATTCCAGGGAGCTTGAATTAAATAACTAACTTTAAAAAATTATGCTGCCTTATAATGGTTCTGTTGAATTTTGGTTATTCTGCTTGTTTTATGTGTATTTTTGGGTTCAACTTTAAAAGTAACTATCTTTCTAACATGATGGTTGAACTCAAGATCGTATCGTAGATGGAAATCTGAAAATATTCAAACTTTGAAAACCTTGTTCACTGGAGTAACTTCCCTTTATTTAGATCAGGACTGTAGATGTTCTTTCTCTTCTAAGAAACCCCAAAAGGTCATTTTCAGAGATAGCAACAATCTTTAAGGACCTTAACTCAATTAGTGTTAACTAGATACGAGCTTTCAAATTCCGCTTGCTACATACACTTAAAAGAGGTAAGCGAATCCCCAGTTGGTCCTTTTCAGTTGAGAAGAACCCTTATCTAGGAAACATACATTTTTTAAATAGCGTCTAAAATGTGATCTGTCCCTATCCATCATGTTAAAATTGCTCCTACTCTTTTGATGTGAATGGATATTTCTGTACTTGTTAATGTAATGTTTTCTTATGTTCATATGATCAATATAATTTTTTTTGTTTTTTGTCTTAGTCAGTTTCAATAAGTTTTATTTATCATAATGTCCGAGAATTGGATGAGGGTTATCAAAAACACAAAAATCCGCTTTTGAGGGGTAATAAGCTATTTTTAAAAAACAGATCTTCCACTGTGTTCTCCCATGTGTTAAATGCAAGAATGTCTAAATCAAACATGTTGTATTATCTTAGTGACCATTTAAATAAACATGAAAGTCAAAAGTCCTCTTATTTCACTGATTATTTCCTACCTTTTCTGTAAGATACGATTTACTGGACATGCTGTATTTTTTATTTCTATAGTTTAATTTGAATACTATTTTAGTTTTTTGCTTATTTTAAAGGCTTCTACCTGTTGAATGCGATATGTCGGAATATGATATTCCTGTAGTGTTACAGTTATTTTACTATCTATCACATTATAGCAGTTACACAGAGCTCGATAATCCACAGCAATATAGACTAAGGGACATATCGCCTTCTTAGATCAGCCAGGTTTCATATTGTAGTGCTCAATACTAATTTATATTTCTTAAAACTCCCAACACGCTTTAAACAACCTATGAACTTACAGGTTTCCATAAATAAGATGCTACCCACATAATCTTAATGTCACAATAACTAAATGTGTCTGTTCTTAGCTAGCATAACTGAAAGAGCACCTCACTATATGATTGTCCTTTAATTATACAATATCATCTATGGACTTCTATATTTTATTGATCATTAATGTTTCTAATTGTTAATAGGATGTACTGGATGGCTCGGATGGAGAGAGTTCGTTAGATGCCAATGGTAAAGGCGTTGCAACTGATGATACCTCCATGTCCTTACCTGACGATTCAGCCAATGAGGACAGCAAAGGTTCAGACGAACCACCTGCCAAAAAACCAAAACCGGATTCCAAGTGACCTAATAATGCATTTTTTTGAAGAATGTATTACAGTTAATCCCTCTCAACCTCAGATTAGTCTGTCTACTTTTGTGTTTATTTACTACCCATTAGCTGACAGAAACTGGTAAAACCTATTTATTATGTGTTTTCTTATTAAGGTGGGGGCGAAAACTTTTCAAGGGTTGCATTATTTGTTTGTGTTACACTTTTCCATTTTTTTTTTTTTTTTAATTTTATTATTAAAAACTCAGATGTAGTTAATAAAGTATTTCCTGAAATCTGTATAGAATTATTATTAGTGAAACCTGTAAGGTAAAAATTTGAAACACTGTAATTTTCTAAATATTACTGTTATATTTTGTTTTCTTTTGTTACTATGGATCAGTATGTATTTATTTATTTTTATGTACCCGTAAACTTTGTTCCCACCTTTTTCTGTAGCCTGCCTGAACAGAAATTGTAAAATGTACAGTGTACCATAGTGAAAGATCACAATTTTTATATTTATATATAATGTGGATTATTCATTGCCAGAGTACTTAAAACCTGAAACTGTTTTCAGTTGTTGAGTGGGTTAGATGATAGGTTGTTTCGCATATAGTTATTTTTTACCGCACATATTAGTTTTTTGAAAAATATATGAGCATCACTTTATTGCTCGTTATGAAATTTAAAAAAAAATTAGAATAGTTTTTTTGTGTATGTATGAGGGAATATGAAAGATTATGTGTGTTCAGAATGAAAATTTTAGTGAGATTATCTGGTTATATATATTTTAATTACAAGAAGTCATTGTACATTCCATTTCATTGCATTGTAACAATTACAAGTTTTGCTATTCAAAAGTCAACTTTAATATAATGAAATTTTTCACATGTTGATGTGGTTATTCTGATTCATAGTTTTATTTATTTGTCTGCATTTATTGTGTTTTAGCACTTGACTTTTGAATGTATTTAATTTGTCCTGAAACTGTTAGGACATAAATAAATACAGGCTTGTAAATATCTGGTGTTGTTAAAATATCCCAACCTATTATATTAAAACTCATTCAGACCAACAGTTAAAGGAAATGTGTTTTTTTTTTCTTCTTTTTTTTATATGTAAATGTATATAAGAGCAATATAAAAAAAAAAACTAAAAAAAAATGGATTTAAATGTTATTCAAAAACGCCAACTGATTTGTCTTTTTGGCGATAAAGTTTAAATTATATTTTACTTTACGCAAAAACTTGTATATTTATCGATGAATTTAATTATATTTACACTTTGTTACACACCAATTAATTGTTTTAACTTATTCAATCGTATTGTCTTTAGTTTTCTTTCTTTTCTTTTTTTTTTTACTTTATATTGTTTCCCATTTGGGAAAATGTAGTTCTTAAGTAAAAACAGTCTTGGTACTTATTTTAATATAAATATATCTAGAGGATTTAAAAAATTCTGGGATAGGGAATGAATTTAATGTTAATTAAAATTCCTATTCTCAAGATGTTATTTCTTTTTTTCTGAATCAAATATTTATAATTTTCCTATTTGACTGAACTGATAAGTTTGGGGTTCTCCCACCCCCACAATCTTTCACTTTATTGTATATTAATTATTAGTACATGCCAATTGCCTTTATATAGTTAGCAAACTTTATTAAGATAAGATTGTATTTACACAAATTCGTACCTCTGTCAATAATACACAGAATAAAATAAGTTAAAAAATAAATAAAAATAGCTATTTTATTTACCTTTCCCAATATTTTTTCTTAATAAATTAAAATCTTGAAGAGCCTTAGTATTGAGTGTTGAAAACAGAAAAAATTGCTTATGAAGAGAAAAAGCAACCCCAAAGTTAAGGTGGAAGGAGGGTAGTTGTCACCTGATCCGCCAGAGGGCGTGAGAGAGGTTCTTGGAAATAGAACGCGTGCTATGTCTGCCAGTAAAAACTTCCTCCTATAGGTTTCCTTAGGCGGTTCACGTCTGAGATTATTAATGGTTCCAGTTCGTAAAGTTTTTTAACTCTTCTAAGAGTTGAATTTGAATTGTTGATTAGTTTGTTATTGAAAAGTTATCATCGAACTGGGTTGTGATAGCGGGGACTCAATAACCTTATAATACTAATTCATTCAAGGACGATTTTCAGCATTTAAATTTCTGTTTAATTGTTAACTAGATTTGTTATAATGGAAGCCACAGCAAAACACGATTTTAATGCAACTGCCGAAGATGAATTGAGTTTCCGGAAAAGCCAAGTATTAAAGGTAAGGAATCTATGATTCATATTCTAATTGCTTTGCCTAATGATATATTTGACATTACCTAACTAAATGTACGTTAATGTACATGTATGCCTTTATCATTGCAATTCTAATGACCCTTTGTTATTATGTGAATAGATCCTTAATATGGAAGATGACATGAATTGGTACAGGGCAGAATTAGATGGAAGAGAAGGCCTTATCCCTAGTAATTACATTGAAATGAAAAATCATGAGTATGTAATTTTTGAGCCATGTTCAGTAAATGTAATCTATAGGAAAAGTATTGTGTTATCCCTTGGCTTTTATTAAATCTCATCACCTAATTTACTCTGGCAAATACAGACTTCTGTATCACATGAAGTAGTTGTGATATATTTTTTTTCTTAAAGTATCTTCTTTTTTTTTATATTTAAAACTCTTCATGTATCACATTTCACTAGGCAGTTTCATCTGTCAGCTTAATTCTAATTCTGAGAGGTTTGTAAACAGAACATTTTAAGTGTGTGTGCGCATTTAAAATAATAGTGAATGTAGACTTAAATTTGTTTGAAGAAACTTATTTAAATTTCTTTTATTATCCTGATGAAATGGAATCCCTCCATCTGACTTATCGCATTAAAAAACTATTGTGTGTTTTTCTGAGAGGCATTACCCTGTTTTATCTATGTATACTTATATAATTCATTAACCATTGAAAATTGAAGGTTACTTTTTTCTTTCTTTGTTGTTATGAAAGCCAGGGATTTCATGGTTTAATACTCCTTTCATGAATTAAGTTAAATATTTATATAGTGTTGTTTTATTTTCGAATATTATGTTTTTAGTTGGTATTATGGTAGAATAACAAGAGCTGATGCGGAAAAGTTGTTAATGAACAAATATGAAGGAGCTTTTCTTATACGAATCAGTGAAAGTTCACCCGGAGATTTTTCGCTATCAGTCAAGTAGGTTTATTTTTTTTTATTGGTATTTGGCATAATGATAAGAAATGTTTTCATGTTTCTGTTAAATAAGTTAAAAAATTTAAGCATTCATCATCAAAAGATTCTCGTCTGTTCTTTCAATTGAAATGTTATTTATGTAAGAATAATTGATTATTTATAACTTTAATCTAATCAAATGTGATAAATATATCATTAGTTTATTGCAAAAAGTCGTTAAGTACACTTTAGTTAAGAGGTGAATTTTTCAGTACATCTTTGTGACTTAAAATCATATTTATCAATGTACAAACTTATGAAGTTCACCAAATTCAAACAAACTTTTTTATTTGCTTTAAGTAGTTACAATCAGTGCACAATGATCTTATTTCACATAGAAGAAAATTTATTGAAGTACTCAGTGAATTATTTTTTAAAAAATATTACTGACTTATTGCAATGAACCAGTGATATTTTTTTAATCTGTTTACAAAATAAACTTTTAATTTACAAACAATTTATATTTCTAATTTTTTAAGAGATGAAATAAATATATTTCGTAGGCAATAAAGAGATAGGCATCTCTTTTTGTCTTTATAACTTTTACATAGTTGTTTAATAAGGTTTAGTTGTGGTCTACATGATCAACTCTCTGAACATTGTATTAAAACATAGATTCTTAAACTGGACGTCATCTATTACATGACTAGCCATATCACAACAATGTAAAATGGGGTTGGTATGTGGCCAGAAGAAGAAATGGTATTCAAGTGTGGGAAAGGGCAGGGGAATCCATGAACTAAATAAGTTTCAGAACTCCTGAATGAAAAAGTTTTTGAGCTATCAAGAAAAAGGATGGAAACTTTTTTGCCTATGTGTGGTATCGACATAAATTAATGCGACTCTGATGGACTGGATATTATTCAGAAATATGATGTTTACACAAAATGGGAATAGAATAATTGATTTCTTAGACTAAGAGGTTTTAAAAGAATTACGATGTCATTATTCCAAGCTGGAGATGAGACCGAAGGGACTCATGAATTGCTTCATAAGGTAGATCTTTGGGATTCCCAGACGTGCTCATGCACCGAGTTGAAGTGCCTTTATCCTGCTTTCTGACAGCTATTCCTCCTTGGGCTTTTCCTTTTCCAAGTCTTCAGAACCAAAAATAATACCTAAATCCTAGAACTCTATACTCCACCTTCCTGTATCCACTCTTTTAATACCGGATCTCAACCCATTGATCTATATATCCTCTTCTATAAAACTACTTCTTTCAGCAAATCCTTCATCATTTGTACTACCTCCTTTTGGAACTCTTTACCTTTCTCCCTAGATCAATTCTTCTCCACAAATTCCTTTAAAAAACTCCTATTCTACTTAACCTAACTTCTTTAAGTACCTACTTCATATTCAAACTTCTGCAAACATTTAAAATTTACCTGCATCTGTATACTTTATAATTTAATTAACTGTACTATTGAAATTGCAATGAACATTTAATTAAGCATCATTTTGTATTCTCTAAGCCAGACTAATGTTCATAATTATGGAACTGTGTCATTATTCATAGAAGATTGTAGTCCCAGACTAAATTATTTTTCATTTTATTATTTCTGAAAATTTGTGAAGAAATTGAGCCGTTGTTATGTCCAATCAGTTTCTATAATAATGGTCGCCACAGTCCATTAAAAACTATGTTCTTACATAATTACAACTGATGCCATTATAAAAAATATCCAATTACTTGAAAAAAAAATCAAGAATTTATTTTGAAAGTTGGGAATTTCGATCACTAAAATTGGTAGACACCATGAAAACACTTTCTTACATAAATTATGGCTAAAAATAATATTTTCTTACAAACTACTGACCTCAAAACTCCATGGTTTGTAGCTTTACTTTTTTTGGAAGTTATTATTAATAGATCAATCAGACTTAGCAGTGTTTGGATTTATTAAATTGAAGTTCAAAGTTGTCCATTTTATTCTAGAAACTATTAAAATTGTTAACTGCTTGTCATAGCAGTGAATTAAAATATAAAATGTTTTATGGTTGAGACTTTGGGAAGAATAAAAATAAAAAACACTGCAAGTTATTTCACAATGGTTTATTATTTCCAAACAATTATACATTACCTTCATAGTAACAAAAAAAAAAAAAAATGTATATATATACTTATAAGCTGATTCCTATTATTGGCCTAAACATTTTTTTTTTTCATCATTAGTAATTTGCTAAAAAAAAAATAGCATTACTTCAGTAACACTTTCAGAAATCAAAAACCAAAACAAATGATGACATTTACAATCGAATAAAAAATATCTAGTTGTCCCCCCAGACTCGATATCTTTGCTCCAAATTGTCTGATTTTAACAATTTTTTTTTTTTTGGAAATTTCATAAACTTTTAAATAACTAAACAAAAACAATATCAACAAAAAGTGTATACTTTTTGAGTTATTCGGAAATCTAACTTTTCCACCCCTCATAACTTTTTTTCCTTCTTCTTTTTGTTGAAGTGTGTTCCATAGATAATTTTAAGAGGATTGAGATGAAGATTTTAGCCAAGTTTTGTTGAAATTGGTACATTCGTGTCTATAGCAACACAGGTTCACACAAAAGAAAAGTCAGAGAGTAATGTCGATGTAGGAGAATCATCCTCGGGTGACCTCTCACTTTAAATTTAAATTTGAAAAAAAATCAGTTCTGTAGTCACAGAAAAAATGCACGGATGGCAGATGGACATAAAAATTATTCGATTTTCGAATTTTACGTATCCTGAAACGTAAAACCTCAAATTTTGAGGGGGGGGGGATTAAGTTTTTGAATTTTTTTTGTCGATTACAATGATTCATTATTGAAAACAAGGAACCAACATTTACTAATTATTTATTTGTTTTATTTATTTTGCAGATGCTCAGATGGAGTACAGCATTTTAAAGTATTAAGAGATGCCCAAGGAAAATTTTTCCTTTGGGTTGTAAAATTCAATAGCCTTAATGAATTAGTAGAGTACCATCGGACAGCTTCTGTCTCCCGATCACAAGATGTCAAACTGAGAGATATGGTCCCAGAAGAGGTAAATGTTCATTTTATATTTACTAACATTGTTTGCACAATAATATTCATTGAATTGCCACGAAACTATATTTAACATGAAATTAATGAAATGGGAGTAAGATCCTTCTTTAGATGAGGGAAAGAAGGATCGTTGGAAACATACAGCAATTTTTTTCTTAAAATTGGCTTTCCGGAAGTGCCACTTTATATCAACGGTAAAACACATTTTTATAACTTCTTCAAAAACGGCTCTAACGATTTTGATAAAACTGTGTTCAATTGGAGAGTCAAAATTAATCTCCGGATATTACAATCAGAAGGTATATGTATAATATATCGTTGAAAAGCTGAGAATTTTAGAAAAAATAATATTAAATAAATAGTTTTAGAAGGTAACAAAGAGTGACGAAAAAAATATAAATAATAATTTCAGAAAACTAACATTATTTAAAGTGATGTAGAGATGGTTGACCGTTAATATAATATGAGAAGGAGTTAGTCGAGGGTGCGGTCAAATAAATAAAAAAATTAAAATATATAAATTATTTTAATTTTTGCCGACTAACTCCTTCTCATAACATTATTTAACATAAATCACATGTTTCCAAGGAAATTAAATGAAATTTTCTTAGTAAATGTAAACTTTAAATTTTTTCTTTTAAGTTTAGTAAAAAGTATTTAAAATCCACCGAATCAAGCCAGTGCCTTTGTTTAAAATATTGTTTCATTGTACTTGTGTGAAAGAAGAAGTGAAATATAAAAATGTTTCATGGATATGTTTATAACCTTAAATACATTTACTGTAGTTAAATAACTCTAGATATGATATTATATTTAAATAATTAGATAGATATATATTGGCCGTTTATTCCAAAAAGTCATCAAGTAACCTTTTAGAAAATTAAATAAATGAAGTAATTTGATGAATTTTTTCTTTGTGAAATTCAAACATTATCCACTTACAATTAGTGTGTCAAGTTTTGACCTATCCATGGCAGGCAATGAAAATCCGGTAATTTCATTTTAGTAAACTTTACGATGGAAAATAACAGTTTAATAATTTATCGTCCTACAATTTACATTTCTAGTGGGAAAATTTATACCTTTATTCGCAATTCTACATTTCAACACTGCAATCACCTACTCTGAAATCAACTTACTCACTGTCTGTATAGATATAACTTTTTCAGCTAGAAATATCACTAAAATGACATTACTCAAAAATGTTGAAATTGGAGTTAGTCATTTTCTCAACTGAAAGGCGCAGAGATTGAAGCTATGTGGTTAAGAAAAGCAGATGGAGTAACTAGATTTTTATTGCCTACCGTTGATATTATAAATAGACTTTTTGTAATTACAATGGTCGTAATCATTTGTTATCTGTAAGGTTTAAGCTTTAGCTCTGTTTAAAATGCAATTCATCAATTTTATAATATCCCAACATTTTTTTTTAAATCTTAATTTATCTAGACAAAAACAGTTTTTTTAAACACTTTCTTGGGATTTAAATTTATTTTTTCAATAAGCAGGTGATCCTTTCTGTATTATATTTTACATTAAATATTCCTAATTCATATTAAACTGTGTAACTTTAATTTGATGTTGCAGTGTTTGGTTCAAGCTTTATATGATTTTACACCCCAGGAGGCCGGTGAATTAGGTTTTAGGCGAGGCGATGTTATCACAGTGACAGACCGCTCTGATCAACATTGGTGGCACGGAGAAATAGGACCGAGGCGAGGTCTTTTTCCCGCAACTTATATTACACCTTATCACAGCTCGTAGTGAAGGTAATTAATCTTTGTTTAAGTTTGTTTTAGTTCTTCTTCTAATTAGTTAAGGTGATAACTGTCAAATACTCATTTTTTTTTTTTTTTTTTTTTTTTTTTTTGAAATTTACTGATGTTTTAATATTTTCAAAGTCATAATAATTTATTTAGCTGGTATAAATATTTAAATGAGACAATATCCAAGAAATTTATTCATAGAAAGTTTCAGTAGTGGTTTGGTTTAAATTTTCTTGTTTTTGAACATTTTATTAAAAGAAAAACATTGGCTAACCAATCATTAGCATAGGTTGATCCTCAACTCTATATTATGCTCTACCATTTTGTTCCAATATCGTGACCAATTAGAAATTTTATGAGCCATTCATGAACATTTTTTTTTCTCTTTTTTAGGGTTATTTATTTTATCAAAAAAGAATGTTTCTAAAAAAAAAAAAAAAAAAGGCATATGACTCACTCTTTCTTTCTTTGATGATATTTAGTTTTCAATTTACACCTGACTTTCAATCTGAAACTAGGTCATGGGGCCGCCCTGACATTTTTATTACAAAAAGAATATTATGAATATAAACACAGATTCATACCAGCAATAACAAAGTAGAAAAATGGCAGGATGCATAGCATATGTTTTGATGAACAGTATGTTTTCTGAACACAAAGAGTGCGATAGTTTGTTAACTATAGTTAGGTCAAAAATTTCCATCATGTTAGATTAATTTGGTCCCATTAATTAACATAACAAAACCTTTTTACACTATTTTTCTTGATCTAAGTGGGTTCATTCAAGAAACTGATGGCCGTCTGAACCAGCCTTCTCTGATTGGCCAACTTCTCCATCTCTGCTTATCTTAGGCTATTACTTTCCAGTTTGCAGCATGAAGCTCAACGGTGTCTTTGTTTATCCTATCTATCCATCTGGTTTTTGGCCTACCATGCGATCTCTCACGTACTATTCTGTCCTTCATTGTTGTGTAAAGGCGTCGTGATGGATTGCTTTGAGCTATATGCCCATCCATCTTAACCTTCTGAGATATTGACTGACCAGTTTATTTTAGCAGTTCTTTATTGTTGTTCCTTCTCCTCCATGTGTTAAGGTTCTGATCCCAGATAGACCCTGTTTTCTCATGAAGGACTTTCCTTTCAAATCTCTCAATTCTGCTTTCTAGGGTCCCTGTTCGAGTCCAAGTTTCACAGCCATACAGCAGAACTGGCTTTATCACGGCGTTGTACACCCTTCGTTTGAAATTTCTGGAGATTTTTCTTGATTCCAGTACCCTTGAAAGAGAGAAGAAAGCTCTGTTCGCACTTGTTATTCGCTTGTCTATCTCCAATAGTTGATCATTTATTGAGATTATTGTAGAGCTAAGGTATTTGAATCTATCTACTTTTGGGAATGGCTTAGAATCCATGCAGATCATGCTATTAGGGTGGATTTTTCGGCTAACTATCATATATTTTGCTTTATCTTCATTGACTTGTGGCCCGATTTGCTTTGCTTCTCGTATCAGAGTTCGAGCGAGTCTCGATATCCTCTTGATTGCTTCCAAAGACAGGTATATCATCCTCATATGCTAGGATTTTATGTTTCATTCAGACGTCCATCCCTTCATCTTCGTGTGATGTTCTTATTACTTTCTCAAGGGCTAAGTCGAATAGCATTGGCGAGAGTCCATCTCCCTGTCTCTAACTTTAAAGGCTTCAGATACTTCTTGTATTATTAATCTGCATTTAGGATCACTTGTACACGCCTTTGTCAAGCTCAATAACAGTTTCTATCCACGTAGTGATAGGCTGATTTGAAGTCGACTTGTACGTATTTTGAGTATGTCGAGTATTTACTTTATGTATATACACAGGGGGTCCTGTAAGTAGAAGAAAATTTTTATTGGAGTGATAGTAGACTCAAGAGCTACAAAAAAGTTCATATAGACAATGGGCGAATTTTCAACAGAAAAGTAGCAAATCCAAGTTTTGTGGTTTTTAAATGAGTCATGTTTTTTTTTTTTTTAATCAAAAGAAATAAATATATAATTTAAGTAATTAATAATTGCTTCATTGTAAACAAGATGAAATTTACTTTAAATGAACATAGAGTTTATCATTGTTAAAACCATTTACTGAGGACTTTTGAGGGGCTAAGCTAAGCAAAGCCAAGTTCTGTTTTTAGAAAAATCATTAATTATTCGCCATTTTTTGTTATCATCCAACTATTCTACAGTTTCCCCGCTTTTACAAAACCTTTTTCGTTCAATAAGCTTTAAGTTAGTGTTAATTAAGTTGGGGTTTATTAGAGAAAAAATTAAAATTTAGCTCAAGTTTTGTAAAAAAAATTATATTTTTTAACCAGTCCAGTAAAAGTACCCCTGTTTTCAGCAAAAATTACTATAATTAATTGTTGCAAAGCTGTTATTTCTTGTTTTTCCATGATCTGGGATGTATTTTAATAAATTCAGTTGCCTAAACACACTTTTTATTTATAAAAAAAATTAATTAGAAAAATATTGATTTTTCGAATACTTTTTTCTGGTAAATCGGTTATAAACTGTGTTTTTCAGTTTAAAAAAAAATTATCGCTATCAAATAGTCCAGAGCTCTAGGTGTGACATTTGACCAGAATTGATAGTATCACAATTTTCATGAATTAATTAGAGATAATATAATATAGGAGTTAACGGGAATCATTGTATTTCAGTTGGAGCGAAAACAAAGAGTAAATGGAGAGAGAAAGGTCACGGACTGGTGCAAGAAGAGGCAGTTCACCAACCATTGTAAGAAGACTATTCCACCTCCATAATCGTTATTTAGTTAAAGAATCGGTTGTTAAAGAAACGATGCTTAAATAGTGCATTTAATCTATTTTATTTCAGGCCTACTCTAAGACTGAAATGAGTTGCATTTATGGTTTTTGTTTTTCACTCAATGATGATGGTGTACCAACTTGTTGCATTTTTAGAATCAATTTTTTCTTTTTCTTTTTAAGACCTGATCTGTTTAGATACGCTCTCTCTGTTTAATATTTGAGACCATTCTCATCTCTCAACATTTTATATAATGCTATAGTTCGTGAATTAAATTAAGGAATATATTTTGTCATACTGGTAAACTGTGTATAGTCAAATTAAACATGCAAAATTGGTGCTGGACACCTGAAAACTGCCCAGATTTATTTTGAAAAAAAAAAAAAAAAGAAATTTTTGATTGTTTGTTCTTTTCCTTTTTGATATAACATCAGTTGTGATAGCTGTAAAAAAGAAGTAATAATAATAATAATACAAAAATATCTACTTAGAAGTTCACGTATGAACAAATTTCCATTAGTGCAATTTGAAGAACTGATTACCAAAATATAGTAGTTAGGTAATTTTGGATGTTTAATATCCCTTAAAAAGCTACTGTGTGATCTGTTTGAACTTTATATTGTTGTATATGCAGAAAAAAAATAAGTAGCTTTAATTAAAGTGTATATAGCAACTTCTTACATATCATTTCATACCTTATGTCCAAAGTACTCCAGACCAGTTCCGTCACAAATCCTATGCCATTAAAAAATTTAATTTTTTTTTTACCTTGAGGTGATTGACAGTAATGCAAAGATGCTTCGATATTATTCTATTTATATTAGAATTTAAAAAAAAAAAATTTTTTAGGAATCTCTTATGACATTATTTGCTTGAGTTGTTTTTGAGGGTAAAAACTAAAAAACTTGTAACCATGTAATTGTGGTCTGTTTCAGCTCAGAAAAGCTAAGGGAATATCAGATATAGGAAGGACCATTAATATGATGCGTTTGACTATTTTCTGTTTTGTTTTTTTTTCATGCACTTCGGTTTTGTATTTTAATAACTTAAGTAAAAAAAAAAAAGGGGATGGAATTTTCGTCCACTTTATAGAAGTTTCTGCTTATGAGAAGTGTGAAGAATAAAATCTTTAAAAATGAAAAGTAGTAGGAATTTATATTAACTTGTATTATAAACAACTTATGATTGGTGTTCTTAATAAAATTAAAAATATTTATGATAACACTGGCTTGCTTTGAAATGATATCCTAGACTTTAGAGATGACTTTTAAATAATTTTTTCTTAATGTGTCTGATATCGGAATAATATTGATTTGAGTTTAGAGGATCAATTTGAAAATTACTTTGTTGATCGCAAGACCTCCTGATTTAGAAGTCTTATTAGTTTAGTCATTTCTGTGCTTCACGATTTTTTTTTTTTTTCAGTATTTTAAAATTACTTTTAATGTGTAGATTACCATCAGTTGTCATGATTTGGAATTGTTTTGCCAGATTATGCACCTTGCTGTTTATTATCCCCATTTTTTCTCCTAATTTTAAAACTTTCTTAATTTTTTATTTTTAAAGATGTTAACTAATTGAAATAAACTCTTGAGCTAATTAATGTTTCAGGTTGTATAAAGTGTTAAATGAGAGAAAATTAATCTTCCTTGAATATTACAAAAAACAGAGTAAAAACAAATAGTCATTTTCTGTTTCTGAAATCAGTTATGATTTTATGACAACTATAATTAGAAATTTTCTTTGAAGAATAAGAGAATCTGTCTGTGCCTGGTTTTGAGATATTCCGTTTATTAGAAGTTTTAAATGTATTTCATATTATAAAACCCACATAAATTTTGGAGAAATAAAATTGTTTTTAATGGGAAAATTCACTATAACTGTAAAGTTTCTGTTTCTAATTGAGTTGATTTTATATTTAAAAACGAATGACAGCACATTTGCTAGATGCGTTCAAACGCAGTTGCAAATATAATATAAAATAAATAAATAAATTGTTTGGAATTGATTGATTTCAATCAGGTTTTTTATCATACCTTCAATGAATTCATTATAGCTGGTAAAAATTTATCGTTGTTATAATTATTTTGATCTCGATATGTTTCATGTTACAGAGCTCTCTCGGTCTCAAATACCGAGTCAAACCTGCTTCGCATTTCAAGGTGTAACTAAGTTTGCAGAACTACTTGAGGTGGATATGTGGGA